GAATATTGGTCACGCAGGGTGGAAGATGGCGACCTGGAAACGAGACCGATGGTACCTGAACGTGAACCAGCAGGAGACGGCGGAGCTCGGCGATACACGACGCCCTACGAGAGGCGAGACGACTGGAGAGAGCCGAGATGGGGACGCATCGACAAATGGGACATCCATTTCGACGGCGACCCAGACCCGGCCAAACTGACGGTGGAGGATTTTGTCTTTCGGGTCGAATTTCTCCAGAGGCAGAGTCGACGCTCGTGGGACGAAGTCCTTGATAATTTTCACCATCTGGTGAGAGGACGTGCTGCCGAGTGGTACTGGCAGTTTGTAAGAGAGAGGCCTCCAGAAGTCTGGGAGGACTTAAAGGACGAGTTGGTATCCCGATTCCGTGCAGTAGGTGGGCAATACGAGCGGCTGCGTGCGTTGAATGAGCGACGGCAAGAACCTGGAGAATCGGTGGAAGATTACTTTCGAGCGATGCGGAGGCTGGCTGCAAGACTGATCACCCCAATAGCAGATTCTGAGATGGTCAGAGTCGTCAAGAAGGGACTCGAGGAGGAGATCGCTCGTTATGTGTACGCGATCCGAGTCCGGAACCTGGAGCAGCTGAGGGTTCTCACACATCTCCACCTCATGGAAAAGGCGTCTGCGCTCGCTTCCAGTCGAAAAGCGGGCTGCGACTTCAAGGTTGTTAGGCCATTCGCTCACCTCCTCTAGCTCGGTCTCTCGGAGGAGCTGTTGGAAGGAGAGGAAGAGGTGATGGTTGAGGAAACCCACCTGACAGCGAAGCCGAGGCTGGGCTGCTGGAATTGTGGAGAAGTTGGCCACGGGTTCCGAGAGTGTATGGCCAAGGAACGCAGAGTATTCTGCTATCTCTGCGGAAAGCCCGAAACGTACACGCCGAAGTGTCCCAACTGCTCGGGAAACTCAAGAACGGGCATGATGAAGGCGGGATATCAGAGCTCGGGACGGAAGCCCGCGAGGAAGTGAAGGAAGCGCTATTGGAGGTTGTAAAAATTAAGCATATTAACCCAAGTAGTATAGGAAAAAATAGTTTAAAAATCTTACCGGTCGAAGAGAGGATGAGGAAGTATAAACAAACGCGAAATCGGATCTTTGACGGACATCAGCTGAATGGAATGCGAGGTGTCAGCCGTAGACTCCAGAGGGCCCGTGCACGCTTCCGGCAAAGGAGACAGACTCGCAAGGAGGTGGCGGAAGCAGTCAGGCGTGGAGCAGGACGTGACCCAAGGGTTTTTGCCGAGGTGCAAATCCTAGGACGGAAGATTTCCGGACTGCTGGATACTGGGGCATCCGTAAGTGTCCTCGGAAAGGGCAGTCGTGAGCTCCTAGACGACCTCGGTGTGGAGATGGACAACTATATCTCGATCGTCAAAACCGCCGCAGGAGAGGACAGGACCATAATCGGCAAGGCGAGAATCCCTGTGGAGTACAACGGAATCAGCAAGGACATTCTCTTTTACATCTGTCCATACCTGGAGCAAGTCATGTACTTGGGGGTCGATTTTTGGGGGTCGTTCGTGTTGGCTCCCACAGTCCTCGGTCCGTATCCAAGATCGACAAGCGATGCCAAAATATCCGAAGTCCAGATGTCACAGATCAGTCAATATGTCGAAGACCACCAGGAGAACGTACATGTGGACGCATGGGACCTGGAAGAGAAGGAAGCTGAAGAACTGGAGAAGGTAAAGGGGGAGTTCCTGACTTACGAAGATGCCGGACTAGGGTCAACGACTGTAGAGGAGCATCGGATCCAGTTGGTAGAGGGCGCGGAGCCGTTTAAGGATCGACACTTCCCTCAATCCCCAGCGATGCAGGAAGTGGTCTGGACCGAAGTGGACAAGATGCTGGAACTAGGAGTGATAGAGGTTAGCGATAGTCCGTGGAGCAATAGGACGACGGTAGTGCGGCAACCTAACAAAACAGATTTTGTTTAGACGCCCGAAAGCTGAACCAACTCACCGTCAAAGACGCTTACCCTCTTCCTAGCATCGAGGGAATACTGTCCAGGATCGACCAGACGCATTACATTTCAAGTGTGGACCTTAAATTCGCGTTCTGGCAAATCAAGTTGGATCCAGAAGGCAGGAAATGTACCGCTTTCACCGTTCCAGGTCGTCCGCTGTACCACTTTGTGATGATGCCCTTCGGTCTGTGTAATGCTGCACAGAGGCTATGCCGAGTGATGGACAAAGTGATCCCGACGCAGTTGAGATCAAACGTTTTCGTCTATCTAGATGATCTCTTGGTGATAGCTCCCGATTTCCAGACGCATCTCCGGTACCTTCGGTTGGTGGCCCAGTGCTTACGAAAAGCAAATTTAACAATAGGCTTGAAAAAATCAAAATTTTGCTTTAGGTCACTGAAATACCTGGGATTTATCATCGAAGGTGGCACGTTGCAGATGGATCCTGAAAGAGTTTTGGCCATTCAAAGGATTCCCAATCCGAGTTCAGTGAAGGAACTAAGAAGCTACCTAGGAACCGCAGGATGGTATAGGCGCTTCATCAAGGATTACGCTTCCATTGCTGTGCCGCTAACAGACGCGCTGAAGAAGCATCAGCGTGGAAAGTTTTCCCTGTCCACGGAGGCCGAGACGGCGATAGGATTCCTGAAGAAGGCACTCACCACGGCTCCGGTATTAAGTCATGCTGATTTCAAGAAGCCTTTCTATGTACAGTGCGACGCATCGAATTACGGAGTGGGAGCGGTGTTGTTTCAGTTGGACGTCGAAGGAGCCGAGCGTCCGGTGGCATTCTTCTCCGCCAAGTTAAACAAGCATAAACAAGTAACGGAAAAAGAGTGTTTAGCTGCGGTGTTGGCCATTGAAAAATTCAGACCGTACGTTGAATTGATGCCCTTCACGGTTATTACGGATCACGCCAGCCTGAAATGGCTCATGTCATTGAAGGATCTAAACGGACGTCTTGCGAGGTGGTCATTGCGACTGCAGAGGTTTGACTTTGGAATCGAACACCGGAAAGGAGTCGACAACGTCGTGGCGGATACACTCTCACGCTGCATCGACGAAGTGGTGATAGATCCAACGGAGATGGAGCCTAAGGTCTGCTGTCTCAAACTCAGAAGTCTTATAGTCCTCGACTTTCTTCTTTAGCCGTTCTTAGTTCTGTACAACGGACTGGATGCTCACCTTCCCCTACACTATATCAAGCGGATGGCTTTCACGCAAATGGACGACCAAGTGGAAGGGACCATTTGGAAATTATGGATTCCCGCGTCTCTGACGGAAACTTTCATCTCCAAGGCCCACGAAGACCACACAGCTGGACACGGTGGACTTAAAAAGACCTTGCATCGGCTAAGAAGGCAATTCTACTGGCGTCGCTACTGCTGTGTTCACGCCCTCATACAGGCCTTGACGCTACGAACATTCCTCAGGTTTCGTGGGTTAATAGCTTCGGTCCATCCCTAGCCAGTCCTTCAGCATTGCCTGAGGCCATTCCAGAAATTATACATCGATTTCCTGGGGAAGTATCCTCGGTCGAAAAGGGGACAAGCTTGGATTTTTGTCGTCGTAGAACACTTCTCTAAATTCACCTTTCTAAAAGCGATGAGAGAGGCGACAGCTGCGAACGTAGTTCAATTCCTAGTACAGGAAGTGTTCTACAAGTTTGGGGTGCCCGAGGTGATCCACTCCGACAACGGAAAGCAGTTCCTGTCGAAGATCTTCCAGGACATGATGAGCACCTTCGGCGCCCGACATCTGCGCATAGCAGTTTACTCACCACAGAGCAATGCCGCCGAGAGGGTGAACCGGACAATATTAGCTGCAATCAGGACGTATTTAGAGAAGGATCATCGAGACTGGGATATGTACCTACGCCTCTAACTTCACAGCTAGGCACTGAGTCACGTGCTTCGGTGTCCGCACTGCGGCAAAAAACGTCAAAAACCTGTCGTTTACAAGGAATTACCCTACTGCTATAAGTTGGCGAGGAAGCTGCAGTCGCTGACGGAGCATGAGGTGCACGCATTGAACCCCGCGGATAAGTGCCACATCATCCGGGAACGTATCAAGGCCAACCTTCTCCAAGAGTACGAGCGCAGCAGCCAGCGCTACAACAAACGGGCCCGAATATTTTTCGCCAAACCTGGGCAAGAAGTATACAGGCGCAACTTCACCCTCAGCGACTTTGGGAAGAGCTACAACGCCAAATTCGCCCGGAAGTTCCTGAAGTGCCGAGTCGTACGTCCGGTTGGAAATAATGCCTACGAACTTGAAGACCTGGCGGGGAAACCGGTGGGAATTTTTCACGCCAAAGACCTGAAATTGTAGTGGGAAAGCTTTAGAAGGAGAAGGGAAGAAGAATAGGGCACTCATGTACAAACCGAGTGGGTGTGAGCCTACGTTGGGCGCTGCAAGACCTTAGGGCAAGCGTTAGGTTTCAATGTCCTTCGAGTGTTTGCGAATAATTCTTCCGTCGTGTTGCATTCGAAGGAGAGCGATATGCAAAATACTAGATTTGGTAGTATTTTTTTGGAGGTTGATAGGTCGATAGGCGAAGGGGCAAGGCGATCAACGGTGCCGGTGAGAGAGCGGGAGAATGTAAGAGAGGGGAATATTGCGGGATCCACTAGCCAGCTCACCCACACCCTCAAGAATGCCATGCTATGCCCTTGAATTTGGTTCAAGGGCAATAGAAGAGATGAGATCAGCTGCAGCAAGGGGGACTGCGTAGAGTAGCTACGCTGAACATGCCGGAGTGGGAAAATAAACATCGGCAGTGTTAGGGCGTTTTGTGTGTGTGACCGTTTAGGAAAACAAACAGACCGGCCAACGTAGAGGACCCTTTTACCCGAATCGAAATAAAAAGGCGTAAATTGTATCGGCTGTCTTCCCGTAGATGGGCCAAAATTACGATTCCCCGGCCCGCGGAATCCTGGTCACACCCCTGCCCGGGCGCGACTCGCCACAGCGCCACCGACAATTAAATAATTAATCCATGCCTACATAAACGCATACCTATCTACATGCATATATAAAGACACACCAAAATAATATCTATCTATATTAATTAATATTTAATTAATTAGCCACCCCACATATATTTACCGACCATATTAATGTAATATAAATGTAGTATTTGTATTTATATTTATTTTATTATTTATATTTATTATTTTTGTGATTATTCCCACCCATTAATTTAAGTTGAAGAGTCGGGAATAGGCGGACGCGCCACGAGACATTAGTATAGGGATTTTTAGTTAAGTATGTGTTAAGTTTTTGGTTTAAATATTATAACGTTTAAAATGAAGTGCTAGTGTGTTTAGTATGGGGGGGAAAGGGGACCACAACGGCGAGATGGAGAAAGTCCGCCACACTTGGGAAGGAGATCTGAGGTATTCTGAGTCGCATCTCAGGTAGAGTACGTAGGAGCTAGACCATCGGCACCTCAGACTTGTCCACGTCTGTGTTGGAGAGATGTTTGTCCGTTAGATGTAGAGTAAAGTCCGATGCATTGTTTTGAATTATCGTTTGTTTTTGATATTTGTTCGAGATGTCCGAACAGTTGGTTTGTTGTGCGACCTGGGGGCCTGGGAAGAACTCAGCCCTGGGATGACTGGCTAGCCGGCCTTGCCCCAACACCAAAACAGGTTCGTAACA